TGAATAAACAGGGAGTGTGAGTATGGGGATCAAGAGCAATTACCGCGGATTGAGAAGGCCAACGCCCATGGGATCCAACCATGATTGGGGGATATGGGTTTGAATCAATGAGGATAAAGAATGGATTAAGAGGCCAAAGTATGATGGGAAGGAGGTGGTGGTCACTGGTGGGTAGTTGTAGAGCTGTGTTCGCCAAATACAAAGTATGAGACCATTTGTTTGTAGTGGTGGGGAGGCTAAATTGTTAAATTTAGACTCCGTCCATATGAAAACAGTGTTTAGACTTTGTCAATACTGTTTTTTTCCCGCATCCGTGCACCGTCAATAAAATACACTCTACATATTTTTTTACCTACCAATTTAGTAAAACCTTAATTTAATTATTATAAAAAGTATTTTCCTTTTAATATTTTACCTAGATAATTATGAAGTAAAAGATACGCATTTCGATATAAAAAAAATCACTAACTTTTTTAAACGATTTTTTGGTTAACAAAAAAGAACTTAGTTAAAATAAAATTCGATTATGGAATATTCACTTATTATTTGTGAAGGCTTAATGAATTAAAAATTCGTGTTTCGTGCTTTTTTGGGTTCACCAAAACTTCAACAGTTAAAATTAATTTTTTTTTCGTTGTATGTATTACATATTGGTGTCATATGAAAAATCATAAAAAATCATGAATTTTGATATATTTTTTGAAGAATTTGGAGAAAAAATAAAAAAAGTTATAAGAGTTTAAAATAAAATGGGATTTTAATGACGTAAGCGTGACATCAGCATGACGTCAGCAGAACCATCAACAACGCGCAGCAGCGGCTGCTTTTCTTCTTCTTTTTCTTTTTCCTTTTCTTTTCCCCTGTCAACCCAACCCTCTATTTTTAGCCTCCTCCACTCCCCTTCCCACTTTTACTCCCACTTTTAATCTCCCACTACACTCAATTAAGAGTCTAAAAATTCCATATTTAGTTTTTTGACTCCTAATCTGTAACCACTACAAATGGTCTGAATGATTGCTTCTTGGAAAACGACTTTTATTATTTTCTGAACAAAAAGTCTTTGTACACCCTGGGTTACACTCTGGGTACACCATATATATATACTCTCCCAAAATATTACCCCCTTTATCTCTCAATCCACAAGCCTCATCTGTTCCATTCTTGGAAGAAAAAATCCACCTCCTTTTTCATTTGACCTTCTCCCTCTTTAACGAGTTCTATTTTGTTCACCCCCTTCATGGAGGGTGAACATCACCCCCTTCTTCCAACACATGACACTTGGCATTACAATTGTAAAATTTAAAAGTTTTGTCAAGTGTCATGTGTTAGAGGGAGAGGGTGATGTTCACCCTCCATGAAGGGGTGAACAAAATAGAACTACTCTTTAACGCATCCTCGGCCTCTTTTTCTCACCGGCATCTTTCTCCCTCTTTCACACATCTCCATCAACAAAAACCCACAATCACTTTGGAAACTGTCCATCAACGAAGATGAAGGCCAGAATCGTTGGTCAAAGTCGAAGGCCAAAGAAGAAGAAGAAGCTTTCATTTCAGGCGTCCATGGTGTGACTCTTGTCCGACATGGACCAACAGTACGTTTCAAGTAATTCATTTTATTTTATTTCTTGTTTTGGATTTCAGTTAACATGCATTTTAAAAATTATGTTTTACATTTTGTTGAATTTGATGTTTGATGATGTTATTCTGTACATTAAGTAATGAATGTGTCTGCGTATGAAAAGTAAAAAATTGGAAGAATGAACCAATTGTTTGTGTAGCAAGATGGTTTGACTTTGAATTGTCTGTGAGTTGTTATGAAAGAGTACAGAACTGTCTGTGAGGTATTTGTGTAAGTTAATTAGAAAAGTAAGAGAATAAATTTTTGTTATTTGTTTGTGTATAACTTAAGTTGTTGGTGTACACTTACATGGGGTTGTTGTTCACTCTCAGATTGAATTTGTTATATCTGTTAGTGACTTGTTCATACTGTTTGTGTGCACCGACAACAATACTTGTGTGGTTATTATATTGTATGTGTACACCGACGGTAATATATGTGTAGTTATTATTATCTGTGTACACCGACAATAGTATATGTATAGTTGTTATTATTGTATGTGTGCACCGACAATTGTATCTGTCTAGAACTGCATGGAGTTCATATATAATACAGAGTATATAATTGACATTATTATGCCTACTTGTTTCCTAGAACTGCATGGAGTTCAATTATCAGATTTTCCTCCACCTTGAAAAATGCATTAGAAGTGAAATCATATTTTTATTATTAAATCAAAACAGTAGTTAGTTCATTTATAGCTGGCTGTTAAGTTGAGATTTTAAAGTGGACTGAACGAAACTGATTTTGGTGCTTAGGATTAGAGCCCTGTATATATCAAGATTCATTTTAGGGGTATTTTTTCTTGGGATACAAATCAACAGGGAGTTGTAGCTAGAATGTAGCTGGAAGTTTAATCAATCTTGAATTGCAACAATTTTGTATCTTAATTCTATAATTAAGAATAAGTTGTACATCTTGTTTGGTGTTTGGTCTTTCCGGCCTAATTAATTGACAATTGCAAGCTTGCAGCAGAGCCATATTTAATGTTGATGCACGTTTATATTCAGATGCCTGCTATCATTACACGTGGCTTATGTGCTTTCTTCTTTTTTCATTCTAAAACTTTGCAGTTGGTTCACAGAAGTTGTTCACAGAAATGGTCTTTTCTATAGTTCGAATCAAGTGGAGATGGACGAACGAGTCCTAGCCTGGCGTATGTAGATGTAATATTACTCGAGTAATTAGACGATGATCAACCATCACAGATCAAGAGTCTTTCCCACATTTATAAGGAGCAGTAGGGAGTAGTACTACACAATACTACTGCTTAAAGACCACATTGTTTAGTAATCATGTTGTTTTGGCTTTTGACTGAATTTTCGATGCTTTTATCTTATATCTATGTGATAATTTATTGTAAATTTTTAGTGATGATAAATTTACAAGGATGGTAATATGTATCGTGAATTACAAGGATGGTAATATATATGGTATTATGAATTTTGGTGAGGCATAACTGAACTTTTCTTGGAATTGTGAATTTGATTTGTGTTGATGAGATTCCTATCTGTAAAGAAGAATTACTATGTTAAAATAATAGCTTTGTAAATTTAGGGGGTGCACGTAAACTGTTGGTGTACACAAACAATTACACACTGCTTCACAGACACTTAGATACATGCACAAACACGAATGAGCAATAGTAATACAAGCAAAAATGTATCAACTTTTAATATTAGTCACAGACAACTACTGAAGCTCACCGACAACTCATATGAAGCTCACAGACAACTCCAACCATGTTGGCAAACTAATATGAATCTCATAGAAGCTCAAAGACAACAATATTAGTCACAGACAACTACTGAAGCTCATCGACGACTCATATGAAGCTCATAGACAACTCCAACCATGTTGGCAAACTAACTTTTACAAATTAAATGGCTTCACCAATCTCCCACTTTGGTATATAATTTACACAACAAAAGTACGTACACTTCGCTAATCTTACATAACAATATAACAACTCACAGACAATATCACGGCCTTCCTCAGTGTGATGTCCCATCTTCAATATTTCAATGGCTATATAGTCTAATCTTACATAACAATATAACAACTCACAGACCCAAAAAAAACGTATATCTCCAAAATTCATAAATAATACAATACACATTACAATGGTATATAGTTTATCATCACTAACAAATTATAGTAAGTTATCACACATATTTCAGTATTTCAAATGCTTTTTCTTTCTTTCTATTTCGACCATATCGCAACCTTCCTCAGTGTGATGTCCCATCTTCTCTTCCTTTTCCATCTCAATCACTTACGGTGATTTGTTCTTCTTGTAAATTGAGTATATAACAGAAACCTTGAGCAGCAATGCTCCTGGTAAACAAGGTTTGCTTTCTCACTTGCCTAACAGTTAAAAGACAGAAAGGTTATAAAACTGGAAGTCTGGAAACCATTTTCTCGAGTTGGTCTCAATAAGCTGCTTAAATATTTTGTTGCCAAATGGAAATTCACTAGGAACACATAACTGTGAGTGCTTGTTGTTCAACTAATATGTGCATTACACTAATTGTGAATAACCAACTCCTTTGACTTTTTTACCCCATTAGCCTATGGAAGGGTAATTTGCAGTCATGCTTCATAATGCACATCGTCATGAACATACATTTAAATTAAAGTATTAGTGAATGCACCAGGAAGTAGATACCTGAAGCATTGCATCATAGTTTTTACAGTTGATGTCTCAAGATAACAAAGTGCAAACTTAACAGCCAATGGAATAATGGCCAGAATTATAGGTTCTACTTGCTCACCTGCAACAAAAAAACAGAACCCTTAGCTCTTAGTTTACATTTCAAGATATGTTTGACAATACCATGATGTACGATTTTGCCAGAAGATTAAAATGTCCAAATACACTGTTGAGATAATAGTAACTCTAAAAGGGCTCCGAGTCAAAAGTCAAATGGGCTTCACATATGGACATACTAAAAAGATTTTCAAAGGACATGCTACTTGTGATCCTGTAGTGTGTAAGGTTCAGTCAACCTGTGAAAGAAACCTAGCAAATAAGTTAACAACATTCTTCTTTATAGGATCATAACCTGAAATAAAATAAAAAAATTATCTTCTTTGCTTTTGTCAAGTAGAGCTATGCACAATTCCATGTCATACCCAACAATATGAACGACACAGACACACCAAATGGCTTCAACAAACTGCAACTTTTGTATACAACTCACACAAGAAACTCACAGACACTTCGTTAATCTTACATAACAACTCACAGACAACTCCAAGTGAAACCATCTGTGGACACAAACACTGCAATTCAAACACACACAACCAAATATTGTTTCACACTTCCAATTTTATACTTTTAATACACATAAACAGGCTATGCTTTCAATATCCAGCCCATAGTCAATCCCAGCTCCGTTTTGTTTCGCACCTTCGTCTGTAGGCCGTCGCCCGCCACTATTCCGTCTTCTTCCAAACCTTCGGTCACAGCTTCGTCTCCTTTCATACCTCTCAGATCTGTATTGGTTCGCACCTTCAATATCCGCCGGAAATCTGTCTGGGTTCGCACTTCCATATCCGCCGGCAAGTCCTTGGTTGTGTCGCCCGCAGAAACTATGCTTTTGGTCAAAAATCCGTCTGGGTTTTCACTTCATATCCATCGGCTAATCCAGGAACAAATAGGAGAAAAAAGTTCTCCACTGAAATTTCTGAAAAAAAGGTGCGGGAATGGGGAGAAGAGAGATGAACGGAAGGGGTTGACCAGGCTGAAGTTGCACATGGTAAAGGGGTAAACAAAGCTGTAAAAAAAGGTGAATATATATGGTGTACCCCGGGGTGTAACCCAGGGTGTACACCAAGACTTTTTGTTTTCTGAAATGCACGTTCATTTATCGTCTCTGCTACCACTACGTATTAGACACTGGGAGTGTTTGCATTTGATTAAAAAAAAATGAATTTCAGCTTTTGGCTTAAAAAAAGTTAAAAAAGGTGTTTTCAAATGACAGCTTCTACTTAAATTAATCACTTAAAAGCTAAAAGCTGGAAGCAGGTGGAAGTATGCTTTAAACTGCTTTTCACTTTTTCTGTTATACAAAAAGTACTTCTTTTACCAAACACTACCAACTTTTACTTTTTCAGAATCACTTTTTCTTCAAACACTAGCAACTTTTACTATTAATCACTTTTCCCAAAATTACTTTAAAAAATCACTTCTTTAAAGTTGAAGCAATTGCAAACACTCCATTATTTATTTGGAAAATGCTATGTGTAAACGCCCGTTTACACGGTGTGTACACGTCTTAAAAAGTCTCACCCCTCTTTCTAACCCACTCCACTTTTGAATTAATCCTCCCCACTTTCTTCTCACTCCCCTCTTTCCTCTCCCTCCCTGCGCCCAAATTCCATCTCCTTCTCTTCCTCTTTTCTTTTTTCTTTTCTCTCCCTCCCTGCACCTAACTTCCTTCTCCCTCTTTTCCTCTTTTCTTTTTTCTTTTCTCCCCCTCCCTACACCCAACCTTCTTCAGCCTCTTTTCCTCTTTCCTTCTCCCTCGTAAATAACTCCTCTCCCTTTCTCCATCTTTTTTCATTTCTTGTTTTCTTCATTTCAAAAGCTATAACTTTTTTTGCAGATTTGAATCCGTACAGAAAAATAAGAGGAGTCACAATTGAATCTACTTTGCTCTCTCAAATATTATTCATGAGGTAATACTTTATTTCATATTTTTTTGCATTTAGGGTTATATTTTTTCCTTTTTTTAATTTTATTTATACAAAATATGTTTTGGTGATGTTGATGAATGTTTATTACTCCGTACAATATAATATTAGTATGGATTTGTTATAATTTAAAATTTTATTCAACCATTATAGCTCACTTTTATGCCTATTAAGTGTTTGTTGAAATGTTTCAATGAGATGTAACTATGTATAATTGAATTTTAGGTTTAATTCAGTTTATGGTTTTACTGAGATGTCTGTGTAGTGTGTTGTTATATGTCTGTGCATTTTTTAGTTGTCTGTGCGTTTTACCTGAGACGTCTGTGTAGTTTGTTGTTATACGTTTGTGGATTTTATAGTTATCTTTATGGCTATCCTGAGACATCTGTGTAGTGTGTTGTTATATGTTTATGCATTTTTTAGTTGTCTGTGCGTTTTACCTGAGACGTCTGTGTAGTTTGTTGTTATACGTTTGTGGATTTTATAGTTGTCTTTATGGTTTTCCTGAGACGTCTGTGTAGTTTGTTGTTATACGTTTGTGGATTTTATAGTTATCTTTATGGTTTTCCTGATACGTCTGTGTAGTGTGTTGTTATATGTTTATGCATTTTTTAGTTGTCTGTGTGTTTTACCTGAGACGTCTGTGTAGTTTGTTGTTATACGTTTGTGCTTTTTTGAAGTGTCTACACAGACAATATTTTTGAACGTTTTTGCAAATATGTTGTAAAATGTATGCAAATGAATGGAATTGGGTCTGTTCTTGTGCATGTTCTTTAGGCTTATATAACTTTAAATATAGCTTTATTATGTTTTTAGGCGGCACATATAAGCATAAATGGATGCACATTCAGGTTTAATAGTTGTAATGATTTTTATTTTCTTGACAGGAACTATTTATGCTCATTGCATGGCGGGGATAATGAACCTTCGAAACATGTGTTTGATAAACCGAATGATGGCAGAAAAAGGATTGAGGAAGTCAAGAATGAGAGATTTTGAATACATGATAACTAAATATTTTATTCTTGTAACTAGCTATATTGTAAAATTAAGGTTCTTGTGTTTAGAATATAGTGTAATTGAAGTTGCTAAAGTCTACAATGTATGTTTTGTGTTATGAAAATGAAGTTGGATGTTTTGTGTTGGACACATACAATTGTCTATGTGTTTCCTTATCTTGTCTGTGTGTAATTGAAATATCATCTGTCATTGTTTATATTGTCTGTGCAAGATTAAAACATTGTCTGTTCGTTTGTTTTGTCTGTACATAGATAATAATTGTTGTCTGTGTATTCATATATTTCGTCTGTGTGCGATTAAAACATTGTATGTTCATGTATTTTGTCTGTTAGATGAAGAGTTTAGATGAATATGATATTACATGTCTGGTCACAAACAATAGTTACTAGAATGGGTTAATGTTTTAAATAGAATTGTCTGTCAACTAGACAAATGTGTCAGTCACATACAATAGCCATAGAAATGGGCTTATGTGGTAAGTGAAGTTGTCTGTGAACATGATATGTAGTGTTTGGTTACAAATACACATATATTTTGCATGATTTACACCCATAATGAGAGTAAGATTACTAATTCACCTTTCATAATTCAACATTGTTTAAAAACACAATTTACTTCACCAATATTGAAAGTCGTTTTCTTTTTCACACGACAAAAACACACATCTTTGAGAATAAAATCACTCCAAATACAATATCATTCTAAATGTAAAAACTTTAACTTTACTCCAAATACAATATCATTCCAAATGTAAAAACATTAAATTTACAATATAAGTAATTACAAACATAAATCCTTTATTATCTTTTGCTTTGAAGCTCTCATGCAAACATGTAAACACATGTTTCGAAGGTTCATTATCCCCGCCATGCAAAGAGCATAAATAGTTCCTGTCAAGAAAATAAAAATCATTACAACTATTAAACCTGAATGCGCATCCATTTAGGCTTATATGTGCCGCCTAAAAACATAATAAAGCTATATTTAAAGTTATATAAGCCTAAAGAACGTGCACAAGAACAGACCCAATTCCATTCATTTGCATACATTTTACAACATTTTTGCAAAAACGTTCAAAAATATTGTCTGTGTAGACACTTCAAAAAAGCACAAACGTATATCAACAAACTACACAGACGCCTCAAGTAAAACGCACAGACAACTAAAAAATGCATAAACATATAACAACACACTATACAGACGTCTCAGGAAAACCATAAAGACAACTATAAAATCCACATACGTATAACAACAAACTACACAGACGTCTCAGGTAAAACGCACAGACAACTAAAAAATGCATAAACATATAACAACACACTTCACAGACGTCTCAGGAAAACCATAAAGATAACTATAAAATCCACAAACGTATAACAACAAACTACACAGACGTCTCAGGTAAAACGCATAGACACCAAAAAAATGCATAAACATATAACAACACACTACACAGACGTCTCAGGAAAACCTTAAAGATAACTATAAAATCCACAAACGTATAACAACAAACTTCACAGACGTCTCAGGTAAAACGCACAGACAACTAAAAAATGCATAAACATATAACAACACACTACACAGACGTCTCAGGAAAACCATAAAGACAACTATAAAATCCACAAACGTATAACAACAAACTACACAGACGTCTCAGGTAAAACGCACAGACAACTAAAAAATGCATAAACATATAACAACACACTACACAGATGTCTCAGGAAAACCATAAAGATAACTATAAAATCCACAAACGTATAACAACAAACTACACAGACGTCTCAGGTAAAACGCACAGACAACTAAAAAATGCACAGACATATAACAACACACTACACAGACATCTCAGTAAAACCATAAACTGAATTAAACCTAAAATTCAATTATACATAGTTACATCTCATTGAAACATTTCAACAAATCCATACTAATATTATATTGTAATAAACATTCATCAACATCACCACAACATATTTTGTATAAATAAAATTAAAAAAAGGAAAAAATATAACCCTAAATGCAAAAAAAAAAAAGTATTACCTCATGAATAATATTTGAGAGAGCAAAAGTAGATTCAATTGTGACTCCTTTTGTTTTTCTGTACGGATTCAGATCTGCAAAAAAAGTTATAGCTTTTGAAATGAAGAAAACAAGAAATGAAAAAAGATGGAGAAAGGGAGAGGAGTTATTTACGAGGGAGAAGGAAAGAGGAAAAGAGGCTGAAGAAGGTTGGGTGCAGGGAGGGGAGAAAAGAAAAAAGAAAAGAGGAAAAGAGGGAGAAGGAAGTTGGGTGCAGGGAGGGAGAGAAAAGAAAAAAGAAAAGAGGAAGAGAATGAGAGGGAATTTGGGCGCAGGGAGGGAGAGGAAAGAGGGGAGTGGGAGGGAAGTGGGTGTGGGGAGGATTAATTCAAAAGTGGAGTGGTTTAGAAAGAGGGGGTGGGGCTTTTTAAGATGTGTACACCGCCGTGTAAACCGGGCGTGTACACATAGCATTTTCCTATTTATTTAGGGAAAATGGAAACTAATAATCCAACCTTTTAGCAGTTTTCTTTCAATAATCTCACCTTTTGATTATTCATGAATAATCTAACCTTTGCACCTCATCTTCATTCACTGGTCCCTGACCGGTTGATGACCTGCTATTCCAAGCTATTTTCTTATCTTTGAAAATCATTATACCATAAATCTCATCTTTCACAAAGATAATATTTTGTAAAGATAAGAAAATAACTTGGAATAGCAGGTCATTAACCGATTAGGGACCAACGAATGAAGATGGGGTACAAAGGTTGGATTTTTCATGAATAATCAAAAGGTGGGATTATTGAAAGAAGACCGCTAAAAGGTTGGATTATTAGTTTCCATTTTCCCATTTATTTATCACAATCGTTTTGATTCATCCTCTTTAGCACAATGATTCATTTTGAAATCCATCTCTTTTTTCTTAAACCCATATTGGGAGATGATTGGAGAATTTCCGGTTTGCAAGACGAAGTTAACATTTCCTATTTATAGCACACGCATTATGAGCAGCAATCTTGTTTTGTCTTCTTTACCCCTTTTCTCCATTTCGGCTGCAATCCTACCACATGTTGACCCACGTTCCAATTGACTAAATGGGTTGATTCTATTCAAATTTGTAGCTAAAGTGATAAAATTGGTTGCTTCTATTGATGTATGAAAAATTAAATTTAAAATATATTTGATTAATAAAATAAAGAGAGAGAGAAAATGAAAAAACATTAAAAATGATCATCTACCGTCATTTCAGCCAATATAATCATAAAAGCAACTTCAATCTTACTTTTTCTTATTATTACACAATTCAGCGCGTGAAATCAAAAAGTTACGTTTTTTGTGAAAAGATTGGCTGATAAGCCCATTTGGTGATCCTATTTTTTTGGCTTATTAGATTTATCAACCAACTTCTTTACCAAACATACAAGTTTTGATTTCGCGCGATTAATTGTGTAATAATAATCAAAAGTAAGGTTGAAGTTTCTTTTGTAGCTGTATTGGTTGAAGTTATTGAAGAGAAACATTTTAGTTGTTTTTTCATATAATTTTTTCTTTATTTTATTAATAAAATATATTTTAAATATTTTTTTCATAAATTAGTAGAATCATCATCTAGCCACTTCAGTCAGACCTTTATAAATTTAAGAAGAATCTGTCGATACAGTTGATGTAAGTATTACCTAACAAGCTTGAAAATACATACAAAGTCCCACACACATGATACTATATAAGTAAACTTTATTTTTTAATTTTATTTCGAAATTAAAATATTCTTTACTAATAGTGTAATAAATATGTAAATTTGAATGATATTTATTTTTTGTTTTAGGAAACTAATGATTTATTTAAGCAAATTTAACATGTGATTATGTTGGTATTCATTGGAGTGGTTATGATTGGGCTAAAAACTACTGGTAGAATAATAAAGATAAAGTGGGAGGATATTTTCATGCAAGGGCGGACGCATGTATAATCTAATGGGGGCACATGCCCCCAATGACTTCCCATTTTTATTGTAACATAGGTTTAGATATGTAAACATACATACCGTAAATAAGAAGTGCCCCAACCAAAATAGTGGAGGACCCCAACCAAGTTGGACAGCCCACTTTTTGTTTCTTTTATAATTTAAACATACACTTTTGTACTCTAAACTAACTCTTTTTTTTGTCAATTTTATAAACTACTCCGTAACTCTTAATCCAATTGTCATTTACATATGAACCGGGAGTTTTACAATAATATCCGTATAATTGGAGTAATCTTAGGATCTATAATTGTCATTTATCAAAGCCTGCAGAACATGGTGTGAATTTGAGTTTTTCTATTTAGGATATATGTTGCTATTTTTTTTTTTTGTAGAATATACACTTTTTATTTAGTTTTAAATGGTTGTTAGATTAGAATTTAATCTTTTATAATCATAAATTCTAGTTCCTTAAATCGTGTCAATCATGATTGATTTGTGGTTGCATTAATAATTTAAATGTATTGTTGATTTAACTTCAAAATATTTAATTTCTCTTAGTAAATGACTAGTTTAATTTCAACAACAAAAAAATTTCACGGTAATATTCAATATATATAAAAATAATATTTAAAACTAAATTTATTGAAGGCTAAAAGGTCAAATAGGCCCTCGAACTAACTTAAAAAGTGCAATTCACCCCTTATATAGGAGGCTCTGTCCGGCCGTCATCATTTGGGGCGGTTCCTGGTGGAATTTTTTGATGAAATTTTTTTGAGCATCTTCTTCATTAAAGCTAGTTTACTCATGCCAAATTTTAGCTAAGAATTCAATCACGAAGGCAGTCAAATGAATTTTTGAAGATACTGCGCAGTTAAACAGAACCTCCTATATAAGGGGTGAATTGCACTTTTTAAGTTAGTTCGAGAGTCTATTTGACCCTTTAGTCTTTATTGAAAGATACTTTTTTTTGAGGAACACTGTAGTCAAATTTTTGCATTGGTATTGGTTACCAGTTTTGAATCATCGATTGTTTTATTTCTTTATGTCAAAAAACATGTGGTTGATACGGTTACAAGGGATGGGGCGTTTTAAAAAAAATAAAAACTCATAAAGAGCAATTGTAATATAATATACTCGTAGTATTTTGTATTCTGCTAATATTGGGTTATTTATTTTTTTAGTTAGTTTATATTTAATTGTTCAATTTTTTCACTTTTTCTCAATTAGTGCCCCCAAT